TATATACATATATAACTATATATATATATAATAACAGGGCTACATCTCTGTTATCATTGGTGTATTCATATTAAGAAATGCAGAAAAAAGCCATAATAAGTTATCAAAAGGTTTATTAATAGGTATGCTGGTGGTTATAACATTTCACATCTCCACTCCACACAGGAGGGGGTGTGGACAAATCTCCAGATGGTTATTGGAACATGTTATTCAGCAAGAGTCATGCGAAAACTTTTGCTCTCACATTAAATACTACAGATATTGGTGTACTTCGGTTCCAGTCGTACATGCCTTGGTAACTCTACGCAGTATGGAAAATCATTTAATGCTTCCTAATATGGAAGTGGAAGAGGGACAAGATTCCAAAAATAACTCCTCCTTTCAAATATAAATCTAATTATTATTCAATGGTATGTTTTCAGCCTTGAATTCCCAAAATAGAATAGCTCTACGCTTACTCTTTAACAAAGACATTTTATGAAACCGAAAGTATTTTAATTCTTTTATTGATACAAAAGTATTTATTATTTTTGTATTACATCCCCCCCCCCAAAAAAAAAAATCTGGTAAGCCAAAATAAAAAAAATTTAGAGTACTTTAAATTTATAAACTTTGGGTTGGTACGACTGTTCCTTTTCCTTACTACAAATAACATCTTTTCAATTATGAGAAGAAAAAATATTATTTACATTGTATGACAAAAATGTGAAAAACATGATTATGCAATTTATCTGTTTAGTCAATTAGACAGAAAGAAAAATGAAACATGTTTATAAACTATTCTACAAAAATTTTCAAAAATTTTTCACGCAAAAATATACAACTTTTTATGGAAACGAACTGGACAACAAGTGTCATTTATTCAGAATTTAAGATTCTGTGTGGTTAAAAGGGGTTATTTACTCGATGAAAGTCTGTATTCCCCGTTAAAATGGAGGAAAACAGAATTTCATGAAGCAGAGGGAAAATGAGAGATCCAGATTGGACAATATAAAAATAGTTTATAAAAATTTTTCTCACCTTATTGAGAAAAAAAGTTCAACATACATCGCCCTCACATCAAAATGATGTAGAGGTAAACATCTCCACACGTGCTTCGGATCTCTCAAAAATATAGGGTTTACTTCTTCCTTTGAAGAAAGTAAAAAAAATTCTTTTCCTTTGGACTCTATTCATGATTTAATTTCAACATTTGTGGGTTGTGATATTTGTACTATTTCAATTGTTTTGATACATGTACTATTTCAAAATTTTGTTTACTTAAATTATTCTTTTTATTTATTTTGTAATTAGTTTCTGAAATTTTTTGAAGAATTTTATACGGTCCACTAAAAGGAGGTGACAACTTCTTCGTATTAGGATAAATAAATTCTTCAAACATAACTAATTCATCAGTTTTAAAATCTATATCTAAAAATCTAGCATAATAATAGATTTTATTTCTTTCATGACTTTTTAGTTCTTTGAATTGCTATTTTTTTAGCTTCCTCAACAGGTGGATAGATTCTTTCATTTAAGGGATTTTCATGGGGGAGTCTACCATGCATGAGGTATGCAGGTGGAAATTTTGTTACAGAATGGGGAGTTAAGTTATAAGTATTAAATATCTTTTAACAAAGTAGGCCAGGGAGTTTTAGTAGGTTTTTCATTGATTTTACATTTTAAACTCGTAATTATTGATTGACCAAGGCGTTCTACCTTCCCATTAGACTGCGGATGATGTACAGTTGTCAATAATTGTTGAATTTTATCATGTTTCAAAAACTTTTTAAAATGAGAAGAAGTAAAGGCAGCGTTTCTATCACTCAACGAGGATTTAGGAATTTGATTTTGAAAAATTTGATGTAAAAAATTTGTATAGGTTTCTGAGCTAATGGATTTTGATGCAAAAGCCCAAATGCATCTTGTGAGGTGGTCAATAATTAAAGTTAAATGTTTTTTTGTTGAATTATAGTAATTCAATCCACCAACACTATCTATTGCTAGCAAGTCAAAAGACTGATTAACAGGGGGTAAGGATTGTAATAATCCAAATCTTTTTTGTCGCGGTTTTTTATTTAATTGGCACGTATGACAATGTCTACAAAATTTTGCTATATCTGAAGTTATGTTATTCCAATAATAAACAGGGGTTATCAAGTTAATCATCTTTTGCACTCCTGGATGATTAAATTTATCATGAGCAATTTGCAGAAGTTTTAATCTTAACGAAAATGGAACAACTATTTTAGTAAAATTTTTCTTACGTACACATAAAACATTATTGACATCAACAAAATTTTCCTGTAAGTTATCTTTCCTTTGAGCCTCGACAATTTCATTCAATTTTAACAAATGTGAAACATGAACATTATAATTGTTACCATCAATTTTGACAAGTGAATGTGTTGCATCTCTCGAAAGCCAATCTGCTTCAAAATTAGTAGAACCTTTTGTCTATTTAATACCATATTCATACATACTTAACAATAATGACCATCTAAATAATCTACCTTTTAAATTTGTAACATTTTTTAGCCAAACTAAAGCAGCATGGTCAGTATGTATGGTGAATTTTTGGCCAAAAAGATAATGATGGAATTTATTTAAAGAATCTGCAATAGCAAGACATTCAAGTTCTGTAATTGCATAGTTTTTCTCATAGTCCCTTAAGGAACGTGAATGAAAAGCTACAGGATGCAATGCACCACATTCATCTGTCTGTTTTAACACAGCACCAATTCCAACTAACGATGCATCAACAAAAATATGACATTCATGATTAGGGCTGAAAATTTTCAAAATTGGTTTACAAATTAAAACCTTTTTTAAAAGTTCAAAAGAGTGTTGACATTTTTCTGACCACCCCCATTTTACATCTTTCTTTAACAAGTTATTTAAAGGATGTCGAATACTTGCATAACTCTCAATAAATTTATTGTAAGCATTTATTGATTCGAGAAATCTTTGCAATGATTTTACAGTTTTAGGGGGTAATAATTTTTTAATCACTTCAATATTATGGTTATCTAGTGATACAATTCCATTATTAATTTCATATCCTAAAAATTCTATTTGTTTTTGCAAAAATGAACATTTTGAAAGTTTTAGTTTTAAGTTTTCTTGTTTGCAAATATCAAAAATATTTTTGAGGTGGGTTAAATGTTCATCATAAGAATAAGAAAATATAATGATATCATCAAAGTAGTTTGTAGCAAGTTTAATTTTATGTTTATTTAAAATTCTACGAACTGTACGTTGAAAAATGCTCAGTGTGCGTTGGAAAATGCTCAGAAAATGCGTCCAGCCAAAAGGTAATCTTAAGTATTCAAATAGACCATTGTGAGTAGCAAATGCTAATTTCTCAGTGTCATCAGGATGAATACGAACATGATGATATCCCTGTGATGAATCTATTTTAGAATAATAACTACTATTAGACAATTTTTCAATTAAAGACTGTATTAAAGGTAGAGGTTCAGAATCTGTTTTTGTAATTTGGTTTAGTTTCCTAAAGTCAATACATAAACGACTCTTTTTATTTTTATCTTTCTTAAAGACTAAAGTTACTGGGGCAGCATAAGGGGATGAACTTTCTTTTATTATGTTATTTTTTTAACAATTCCTTTATTTGTATATCAATTTCTTGTTTCTGTTTTGGGGATGTTTTGTAAGGCCTTAGAGACATAGGTAAATCTGAGGTTAACCTGACTTTTTGGGATTCCATTCTGATTTCTCGTACATCATGTTTGTGTTTGGCAAAAACATCATTAAAACTTTTTAAAACTTCTTTTAAGTCCGTATTTTTTTATCTCGCTCTCATTTTTTATTTTTTCGTCGATATTAACCTGATAATGTGTGCACTCATTACCTAGATCTATCTTCGAATCATTTGAAATTTTTAGACATTCTTTCTTTTTCCTATTTTTCCTTTTCTTTTTGTTACCTTTTACCTTATTTTTTTCAATGTTTACTTTTACCGAAACATCTTTAACTTTTATTTTTTCAACATTTTTAACCTTAACATTTTGAGAATTTTGATGTCTAATGTGTAAAGATAAGTTGTCACTATTAGAATTAGCAGAGGTGATCAATCTCTTACCAAATTGAGTAACAACTGGCCCGGCACAGTCGATAAACAAACAAAAATCTTTGCAAGTCTGCAACCCTAATAAAGCATATGGTAAATCAGTATCAATTATAAAAAACTTAGCTGAGTTAACAATTTCGCCTATTTTAAGGGGAAACTCACAAATTTGGTTAAGTGTTAATTGTCCTTTCGTTTGGATAACGTTTAATTCCTCACATTTTTTAATAGGAATATTTAATTTTAACACCAAATCTTTTAGCATTATATTCAATGTTGACCCGGTATCAACATTCAATAATATCTCTTTATTTACATTTTTATTTTGTTTTGGACGTCCCTTTTGGTACTTATTTTCTACTTTATATCCATTTAGGTATTTATTTTCCACTTGATATCCATTTCGGTATTCATTTTCAACTTTATCCGGATATTAGTAATTGCTATTGATTACTTGTCATATTTTGANTGCATCCATTACCTAGATCTATCTTCGAATCATTTGAAATTTTTGGACATTTTTTCTTTTTCCTATTTGTCCTTTTCCTTTTATTTTTGTTACCCTTTACCTTATTTTTTTCAATGTTTACTTTTACCGAAACATCTTTAACTTTTATTTTTTCAACATTTTTAACCTTAACGTTTTGAGAATTTTGCTGTCTAATGTGTAAAGATAAGTTGTCACTATTAGAATTAGCAGAGGTGATCAATCTCTTACCAAATTGAGTAACAACTGGCCCGACACAGTCGATAAACAAACAAAATTCTTTGCAAGTCTGCAACCCTAATAAAGCATATGGTAAATCATTATCAATTATAAAAAACTTAGCCGAGTTAACAATTTCGCCTATTTTAAGGGGAAACTCACAAATCTCGTTAAGTGTTAATTGTCCTTTCGTTTGGGTAACGTTTAATTTCTCACATTTTTTAATAGGAATATTTAAATTTAACACCAAATCTTTTGGTATTATATTCATTGTTGACCCGGTATCAACATTCAATAACATCTCTTTGTTTACATTTTTATTTTGTTTTGGACGTCCCTTTTGGTACTTATTTTCTACTTTATATCCATTTAGGTATTTATTTTCCACTTGATATCCATTTAGGTATTCATTTTCAACTTTATATCCATTTAGGTATTCATTTTCAAGTTTATATCCGGATATTAGTAATTGCTATTGATTACTTGTCATATTTTGAACGTTCACTTCAACCTCATTATAAGGGCTGTTTACACACGAGGAGCCCATGTGAAATTGATTCAAAAGTCCTTTCTTTGAGCAATATTTACATTGATTTAATGAGTTCTCCTGTGTCGTGTGATGTATTTTGGGTTTTGTCACATTCGGGGTTACACTTTTATTTTTAGGACCAGCCGGAGCTTTATGTCCTGGTGCATTACATTTAAAGCTCTTAATGTCATATTTTGGGTTTTCCATTTTCTTCTTAAATGGTCCCTTATTATTTTGAAATTTATTTTTATTTAAGTCACTTTTAATTTTTTCATAAATTTTAAGTTTTTGTTTAAATTCAAAAAGATTATTGGCTCCATAAGGAATTTATTTATTATTTGTTTGGTCTGGTATTCCCTGAATTATGTAAGTGATTAGAGCCAAGTCATCAATATCACTTTGAGATGCAATTTCTTTCATTTTTCATTTCATTATACCTTTGCTTTCTTTTTTGCAACATTGCATGTACTTCTGCACTATTACTACTAAGTCCAAATTCTTCAAGCAAAAGATTTTTTTAATTTTTCACAAGAATTTAAATGAGTTTCACTTCTAATTAAAGTTAATGCATTAGCCTTCAAACGTCTTTTAGCAAATAAAAATATTTGCATATCAGACAATTTAAATAAATTAGCATGAGTTTCAAAATTTTCAAACCGAAAATTAATATTTTCATGGCGATTTCCATTAAATATAGAGGTAACTGCTTCAACATCAGCGAAATTAACTATTAATTTAGTTTCAGGTTCTCTATTATTTAAATCATTACTAGAATTTTGACTATAGGAGGCTATATCTTTATCAGTATAAACATGAGTTTGTATTTCTTTATCAGCATACATTTCAGTATTTAAACTAACTTGTGTAAATTGACTTACACAAGTTTTAATTGGTAAATGTGATTCAAAATCAGTTTGAGTTTGCTTACACTGAAACTGATCAGTTTCCTCCTCACCTTCAGAGGGATTTTCAATTACTAAAGAATTTTTTAAAAAGCTGAAATCGCATAAACAAGTTAAGATGTGTTTGGCAATTTCATCTTTATTTCCCTCACTGGAAATACTTAGAATATCTGAAATTTTGACTAAGTCCGAAAAATTGAAAGTATATTACAAATTTCTTTCAGTTTGTTTGAAAATTCTTCATCGTTAGGTTCAAAAGAAAATTCTGAAAAATTTAGAATTTTGTTACGGTTTAATCTAGAAAAATCATTTGGAAACCAAAGTTTCAATAATAACCTAATTTAGTTTAAATAATAACCTAATTTAATTTTTTTGTTTAATTTAATTGACGTTTGAATCCCATTTATTTCCTTTAAAAACATTCTAAATACACGATAAATAACAATATTATATCATAATTTTTTTTAAAAAAAGCAATATAAGCACAAGAAATGCAATCTAACTCTTAATAATATTCTGTTCAATTATTCATAATAAAAAGTTTTATATCACTACTCATATTTAATATCAATAAAATATTTAATCAATTGAGTGAGAAAGAACAATATGAGAAAAAAGTATATCTACAGTTACTCTTGCTTTCCATTTTCTTCAACCTTCATGATTTTTTATGTTGAAGAGAAAGAAAAAAATCATTTTTTTTCTTCTTTTTAATCGTGATTTCACTTTTTTCACATTTTTGAGCTCTCAGGAACATCTGATTTTGCACTAATGACCATAGGAACTGTAAGGATAGGACGCGCATCAACTGGTTACTGGAGAGGAGCTCTATCCAACATCAACATTCCAACTAGCGATGAGGCACAGGTACTTGAAAAAACAACCTCATCCTTCCTTTCCTTCGATGCTTTTTTCACTGCAGCAATTTTTTTCCCCCGGGGGTGATGGAATGGGGAAAATTTCCACGAAGCAGTCCGCCTCCGTTACGCTTAGTTCCAGAGATAGAAAAGCTTAAGTTTCCTCCGCTAAGGAATAATCCTGGCGTCTTATAATAACAGAGCTACATCTCTGTTATCATTGGTGTATTTATATTAAGAAATGCAGAAAAAAGCCATAATAAGTTATCAAAAGGTTTATTAACAGGTATGCTGGTGGTTATAACATTTCACATCTCCAACCCACACAGGAGGGGGCGTGGACAAATCTCCAGATGGTTATTGGAACATGTTATTCAGCAAGAGTCATGCGAAAACCTTCGCTCCCACATTAAATACTACAGATATTGGTGTACTTTGGTCCCAGTCGTACATACCTTTGTAACTCTACGCAGTATGAAAAATCATTTAATGCTTCCTAATATGGAAGTGAAAGAGGGACAAGATTCTAAAAATAACTCCTCCTTTCAAATATAAATCTAATGTTTATTCAATGGTATGTTTTCAGCCTTGAATTCCCAAAATAGCTCTACGCTTACTCTTTAACAAAGACATTTTATGAAACCGAAAAAGTTTTAATTCTTTTATTGATACAAAAGTATTTGTTATTTTTGTATTACATATATATATCCAGGGTGATTCTAAAAAGATGGGCAAAATTTTAGGAAGTGATAGTACACATCCAAGCAAACAATTTTTTATCAAAGAATGCATAGTCGAAAACAAAAACGGAAAGGTGCGGGTACGTTTGGAAATTTGTTTGATGCAAATGTGAAAGCTCCATTCCTGTTGCGAGTTGCTGCGATACGTTGCTTGTCGCCAAGCTCTCGGCCGCTGCAGGGAAAGTTCGTGATATGCCTGGTGTGTTTCAAAATGTTCGCCTATCCTTTCTTCGCCGTTGTACCGCGTGCATAGCCGCTGTCGACCACTGTTTTGAACACTTATTGTAATCACATGCCATTAAATTTGCTTTTATAACTTAACTTCATCGTTCTTTGTGTGTTTTTGCCTCATATAAGAACATAAGCTTTGACTCCCTCTATCGGTTTTGCGTTTTGTTTTCGACCATGCATTCTTTAAGAAAAATTTTTTGCTTGGGTGTGTACTATCACTTCCTAAAGTTTTGCCCATCTTTTTAGAATCACCCTGTATA